GGACTCAGGTGCTTACCTGCATGCAGCCGACCCTAGTACAATCCTCAACACTGCATATGGCTCCCCAAGCACTGCCAGGAGTGACCCCCTGGACAGAGAGTCAAACTTGGCTGGACTCTTAAGGTAAAGGTAAAGGCTCTCCCGTTGATCATCGATTTGCTCGAGCGGGCCCAGTAACGTCTCCATTGGAGACTTTGTTGTTACTGTGTTTGACATATCGAATACTCTCGGTAGCTTGCCGGGCTCTCCGAGAGGGGCGGAGGAATCGAACTCGGGTCGGCCATCTTGGCCGCTTGTAAGGCGAATGCCCTACCCGCTGTGCTATAGCTCCAGCCCATGGAAATAAAAATAAAAACAATGGGACTGGGGAGATAGTACAGTGGGTAGGGCATTTGTCTTGCATATGGCCAACCTGGGTTCAATTCCCAGCATTCCATATGGTCCCCGAGCACCACCAGGAGTAATTCCTAACTGCAGAACTAGGAGTAACCCCTGAGCATTTCTGGGTGTGACCTGAAAGAGCCCCCACCAAAAAAAGAATGAAATGAAACCCATTGGTATAACGTAACATTAGAAAGGAATTCTGGGGCTGGAAAAATAGTATAGCAGATAGTGTGCTTGCCTTGCATGCAGTGATCTGGGTTTGATCACTGGCATCCCTGTATGTTTACCTTATTTGTTTGTTTTTTGGGCCACAATGGTTACTCCTGGCTCTGCACTCAGGAATAACTTCTGATAGTGCTTGGAGGATCATATGGAATGCTGGGGATTGAACCGTGGTCGGCCACACGCAGGACAAGTGCCTTGACTGATCTCAGAGCCGCACGCATGCTAAGCATGTGCTTTGCCTAGGCTGTCTCCCTGACCTCTTAGGTGAGATATATAAGATATATGCTATATGAGACAGCGGACATTGAATCTGCTGAGGGACCTTTTCCTGCATCGTTCAGTGGTTCCTTAGACTAGGGGGACTAGTATTAGGACCACCCCAGAGAACACCAAATCCTCAGTTGCTCAAATCCTTTATATTTGCATATAGTCGGTACTTATTCACCTACACATTCAATTCTCTCTAGAGTACTCGCAACCACTGTAGACCTGAGTGCACACTTAGTAATCTCCCATCCACAATTGGTTAAATCTGAAGATTTAGAACAAAGAGTTCTTTGGGACTGGAGAGATAGTACACCACGTGGGGAGCGTGCTTTGCATGCAGCTGAACCCCACATCCTGTATGATCCCCCAAGCACATTCATGCATCTCCAGGAGTAATTTCAGAGTGCACAGCCAGGAACTGCCACTGAGCATCGCCAGATATAAAACAAAAAGAAACAAACCAAAAACCCCAAACAGAGCCAAGAGATCCCGGGGATCGCGAGGGCTGACAGTGTGTTCATGCTCCCCGTTATTAAGCAGACCCACAGCTCCACCAGCTCTCTCTCAGAGGTGCTTCCTTCCTGTACTCCTCCTGCAGGCTAGAAAATTCTGCCTCTGTCTCCTATGAGGCAACGATGTGGTTTACTGGCCAAGGTAAATATTGCAGAAGTTCACTCAAAGAATTGGCAATTAAACGGAAGAAATGAAGCATCTATCCTGCCTTTGTCAAACAAACGGTGCTTCAGGATGATTGAACAGTGTTGATGAGAGAAAGCAAAGAGACAGATGCAGTGAACAGAAGTTCTACAGGACAAATTACTGCATTTAGGCTTAGAGGGTAAACAGACACACACACACAGACACACACACGAAAGGCAAAAGAGGAGAGGAAGTGGGATTAATTAGATTAAAATAGCAAAAAAATAAAAGTGAAGTACAATTGGATGCTGATTTGAACAATCTAAAAATAAGACATTTGTAAAATTTCTTGTAGTTTTTGAACCATATCAGGCAGTGCTCAGGGGTTATTCCTGGCTCTGCACTCAGGAATTATTCCTGGCAGTGCTCCAGGGACCATATAGGATATTTAGGATTGAAACCAGGTCAGCTGTGTGCAAGGCAAGCCCCTTAAGCCATTACACTGTCTCTCTGGACCCCATTTGTGAAACATTTGTTAGTCGTTAGTTGAACATCAACTAGGTACTAAGTATGTGATCCACCTGAGCTCTCTCCCTGGCCCCTTAGGTGAGGTGATTATCTCATCTAGGCATCATATTTTCTTTTTTTTGTTTTGGGTCACATCCATTGAATTATGGTTAATATCTTGGGTGTGGAATGGCATATTATGGTTATGGAGCATCAAAGATTTATGCACAGAGATGGGATACTTAAGGCTGGTTGGGGGTGGGGTGGTTGGCATTGGGCAGATAGTATAGGGATTAAACCAGCTTAATGACCAATACCAGGAGTAGCTCCTGAGCACCACTAATGTGCCCAATAATAAATAATAATAATAATAATAATAATAACTATCTATAATGGGCTCAGAGGGATGTGGGCAAAATAAACATAGAAATCAATAAAGTATCAAATTATTTATGAAAATATAATAAAATTACACCATATCTTTACATATACTAGAATTAGGCCCATTTCTTTCATCAGGTGGAATGAATTATCCTTTTTTATTTATTTATTTATAATTACCCTTTTTAAAGAAATTAATTTCGGGGCTGGAGAGATAGCACAGCGGGTAGGGCCTTTGCCTTGCACGTGGCTGACCTGGGTTCGATTTCCAGCATCCATGTGGTCCCTTGAATACCGCCAGGAGTAACTCCTGAGTGCAGAGCCAGGAGTAACCCCTGTGCATCACCAGGTGTGACCCAAAAAGAAAAAACAATTAATTACTTTTTTGTCTTTTTTGGCCACACCTGGGCCAAAAAAGGGCTTACGCCTGGTTCTGTGCTCAGGGATCATTCCTGAAGAGGCTGTGGGGAGCATACTGGGTACCAGAGATCAAACCCAAATCATCCACATGCCAGGCAAACACCCTATTGCTATACTATAGCATTGACCCCAAATTACTTTTTGTTTTTTGGGGACACTCTTAGCAGTGCTTGGGGGAACCATGCGGTACCAGGGATCAAGCATGGACTCCAATCCTTGAACCCTCTTTGTGACCCTGTCTTTCCTTTTTATTTTGTTTATTTTTGGGCCACACCTGTTGAGTGCTCGAGGTTCACTCCTTGTTCTGCTCAGGATAACAGGCAGTACTCATGGGACCATATGCTGTGTCAGGGATGAAACCACGGCGGGCTGCCTGCAAAACAAGTGCCTTAAACCTGCACTCTTTTTCTGTTTTCCTTCCTAGGAGCCACACCTGGCTGAGCTCAGGGGGTGATGCACTGGGGATGGAACTAAGGACCTCACACCTGCTAGGCTCTAAGGTTTGAACTATCTCCCCATTCCACCCTAACACTTCTTAGAGAAGCAGTAATCTATCTAAAATCCTAAATTATGTGCTTTTATCCCACAATCTAACATTCTGATCATCTCATCTTGGCATAATATTTTCCTTTTTATTTTTTTTTTTGGTCACACCTGGTGTGCTCAGGGGTTACTCCTGGCTCTGCACTCAGGAACCACTCCTGGCCGTGCTCAGGGGACTATATGGGATGCCAGGGATTGAACCCAGGTTGGCTGTGTACAAGGCAAGTGCCTTACCCACTTTACTATCTCTCCAGCCTGTAGGCAGCATATTTTCTTTGCAGAGGGAATTAAGATCTTACATTCCCCTGAGGCTGCCCTGGTCCTTTTCACAATCATTTGCCTTAGGGTGAAGGCAAATATTGTGAGCAAAAAATTTTGCTCACATAATTGTCAGAGTGCTGGATTCTTCTACAGCCGGTTTGAGGGGAGCTTCCTACATACCTTTTACATACCTGCTACCTATTTCATGGACCATAGCTTTGCTTTCTTAGAGACATGGAACAGCAGGTTTTGGTTCTTTGTGATACTGAAGCTCAGACAAGGGCATGCAAGGCATGTGCTCATGAGTGAGCCTTATCCATGGCCAAATCAGATGGGGTTTTTGGTTGGGGGAGGGGGGGAGTTGAAAACTCAGGGTCACATTTCACCGTGCTTAGCAGCTATTTATTCCTGGCTCTGTGCTCAGGGATCCCTCCTGACAATACTTGGGAGACCATGTGGTGCTGGGATTGAACCTGGGAAACCCCAAAGCAGGTTTTTAAATACCTTATGGAGGCTGGAGAGATAGTACAGTGGATAGGGAACTTGCTATGAATGTGGCTGACCCAAGTTTGATCGTGGCACCACATATGGTCCCCCAAAGAGTGATTCCTGAGCGCAGAGTCAGGAATAAGCTCTGAGCACCACCAGATGTGGCCCCCAAACCAACAAAAATACCATATGGGCTTTTCTTCCTACTTATAACATCTATGAAGATAAATCAGTTTTTCTGCGACAAGAATAAAAGCAAGGGGGCTGGAACAACAGTACAGCGGTTAGGGTGTTTGCCTTGCACGTGGCCCACTCGGGTTCGATTCCCAGCATCCCATATGGTCCCCTGAGCACCGCCAGGAGTAACCCCTGTGCTGATTGGTTGGGTATAACCCAAAAAGCAGGGGGAAGGGTGAGGGAATGAAAGCAAGAAGAAGGGATTTGCAAAGATGTATTTTTGTTTGTTTGTTCTGGGGTCAAACCTTATGATATTAGGGGCTACTCCTGGTTCTACATTCAGGAATTACTCCCGGCAGTGCTTGGGGACCATATAGAATGCCGGGGTTGGCCATGTGAAATATACAAACAAGCAAGTGCCAAAGCGATAGTACAGTGGGTAGAGCATTTGCCTTGCACACGGCTGACCTGGATTTGATCTCTGGAATCCCATATGGTCCCCTGAGAATTGCCAGGAGTAATTTGTGAGTGCAGAGCCAGGAGTAACCCCTGAGCATTGACAAGTGTGACCCTAAAAGACCAAAAAACTAAAAATTAAAAAAAAATACAGGCAATAAACATACCAGCTCTCCTCAAATTCACTCTGAATCTTTCAAGTATATGTGAGGCATAAAGATGTGCACAGACAGAACCACAGAGACTCTACAAATGTTCACTCTCCTTCATTAAAAACATTAAGTTACAAAATCTTGATTTATAAATAGATCAGATGGTGCATCTAGTCTCTTACCCTGAAACCCCGGCCTGCGACTTTCACCAGACCTCTCTGGGTTGGTATCTGAGCCCTGAGAGAAGCTCCGTCTTCCCCAGTTCCCTGAGTTCACATTTACTCCATCCTCCGGTCCAACAAGCCCTGCCCAAAGACCAATCACTGTCCTGGGGGTGGAGGTGATGGTGCCGAAGGAGGCCGGGGACCAGACCCAGCCCAGTGTGGGGAGCACTCTCAGGTAAGGGCAGCACCTCCTGTGTGGGTCGCGGAAGCTGGACTTTCCAGCCCACAAGTCCTAAAGAAGTGATGTCCCTGCCCAAGAGAAGCTGGCTTTGCAAAAAGCTTGTGCCTGCAGGAAGGTGGACTAGCTCCCCTCTAATGGATCTCAGACCCACGGCAGGCCACCCCTTCCGGCCATTGGCCCCTCAGAGTGTCCCATAGACGCTGACTTTGGCCAGGGAGATGCTCTCTGTGTACTGGTTCCGGCCTTTCTCATACAGGACGTAGAGCTGGGGGGCCCGGTTCTCCCCGGCCAGGCTGCCTTCCAGGGCAGCCAGTGAGGAGTAGCCGCTGGGCCCTGGCCATAGCTGTACAGTCTCCTTTCGCCATGAGGTGCCGTTGCTGAAGCTCCAGCGCAGGGTCAGGTTCACCCCTGGGGAGAGCAACAAGAGTCAGGCAAAGGGCTGGAGCGATAGCACAGAGGGTAGGGCGTTTGTCTTCCACTCGGCTGACCCACGTTCGATTCCCAGCATCCCATATGGTCCCCCAAGCACCACCAGGAGTAATTCCTGAGTGCAGAGCCAGGCATGACCCCTAAGCATTGCTGGGTATGACCCCCCCGCCCCCCCGCAAAAAATAGCAAAAAAAAAAAAAAAGGTTGGGCAAGGGTAGGCTCTGTGCAGGCCTGGATGACTGGGGTGCCCCACCCCCATCCCGGGGCCCCCACCTGCCCAGACTCACTGAACTCTGTGTGGGCGGGGTTAGAGAAGAAGATAATGCCAGAGCTGGTGGCCACAGCTCCTGCGGCCACTACGGGGTCTATGAGCTCAGTGTCAAAGGTCACGTCACGCATCTTCAGTGTGTCACAGGCATCGTAGCTGCGGAGGACGATTCGGCAGCGGCAGTGGTAGTTGTTCTGGTTCCGGGCATTAATGACGACGGAGCCATCAGGGAGCTCATAGGGCTGAGGAGAGAGGACAGGGTTTCAGGAATATCCAGGGCAGGGCAGGGTAGAGCCGGTGGCAGAGAGCGAGGCAGGTCAGCTGGGTGACGAGAACACGTGGATTTCTGACCTGACACTCATCAGGGTTGAAATCATAATTCCGCTTGGGCTGGCCATAGGGGATGCCATTTATCCCAGTCCCATACTTCCACGAGGCACCATGGTCATCACTGAGGAGGCAGAAGACCCCATCCTGCTCCAATGTCCTGTGGCCACACACAATGAGCCGACCCTTCTTCGGCTCCCGCTGTTTCTGTGGGGAAGAAGGCCGGGGTGCTCAGGGGGCTCAGAAGAGGGGCAGGGAACCCTGCCGGGTGATGACCATATCTGCTTCCCTTCAGTTCTGGTCTTGCTCCCTGAGATCCTGAAGTTTTTCCCAGACACCCCCCGTGGCTGACTTAAGAAGCTCATTTTCAGGTCCAGAAAGATAGTACAGCAGGTAGAGTGCTTGCCTGGCACACAGCCCACCTGGGTTCAATCCCTGGTACCCCCATATGGTCCCCCAAGCTCCACCATGAGTGATTTCTGAGCAGAGCGACGGGAATAAGTCCTGAGCACCACTGGGCGTGGCCCACAGACCAAAAGAGAAGCTCTTTCAGAATAGGCTTCTGTGGGACGGGTCATCCTTGGGACTAGAGAGCCCGGATACAGGGGTGTGTGGGAGCATAAACCCAATCTGTGCTGGTCCAGGCTCATGTCTGCTCAAAAGAAGGAGTACCTGTCTCTGACTTGCACTGGCCCCAGGGAAGTCCTTATTGCCAATCCCCGAATGGGAAGCCCTTGAGAAAGTTTCATCTTCTCTAGCTGCCTCTCAGGATGTCCCTTTCTTCCAAGGAACCGTGTCTAAGATAGAAAACCTGACTTCACGGGACCTTCTCCTTCTAGAGGGCTTCACGTGGGGCATCTCCCAGACTCTCCATAAAACAGACAGAGACCTGAATGCCAGAGCCGGGTCCGGGGGCAAACATCTCCGTTCCAATATCCAAGGAGAGGTTCCGGGGTGGGCTCCAGGAGAGGCCATCGTCCTTGCTCCACACCAACATGGTGGAGGATACCTGGCAGCCAGTCTTGTGAGCACAGAGGGAGTAGAAGAGGAAGACCACTCCCGTCTCATTATCGCTCACCACTGCCCCTAGGTTCAGCCCATCGGGGGTCTCCCCATCGTCTACAATGAAGGCTGTAGGAGACCAAGTGCTGCCTGAAGGAAAAGGGGAAGGAATGTCAGCTGTGCCCTCTTAAAGGTGCCTCTTCCACCACACCCTGTTGCTTCCACCACCAGTGAGGGCCTGAGGCTGTAGGAGGCCCCAGGACCTGTCCCTCGCTATCTCTTGATCTCTATGGACTCTGCCTTTGCTCATTCCATCCAGCCACACAGGTTGGCCTTTGCTCAAAGACCTCCCCATTACCCCATTTGCAAGGGTGGGATCTGGGACAGAGTCTGGGATAGAGAGGTGCTCAATAAACATTAGCACGGTCTTTTAGGTGATCCCAGTTCCACCTCACTACCTTGGAATGCCTGCCCCTTCTCCGCAAGACCTCCAAGTCCCCCCATCCTCTGGGAGGTCAGGCTCTGCACCCAACCTAGCCTGGTTCTTGCCACCCAGTCTTCTTTATACCCTGGTCCACGGATCTCCGCAGAGCGATGAACTTGGCTCCCTCGTCCGACGAAGACATTTTTCTGGCCTCAGCAAAGGCCAGGAGAGTGCCTCGTGGGGTGACTGCGATGAGCGGGATGCGAAAGGTATCCACAGCCCCGATCTGCTTCCCACTCACCCACAGCAGCTGCTCCATGGTCACCAGCGGCCGCACCTGGGACGGGAGGAGACAGCTGACACGGAAACACTCGGTCCCGGATCTCAGAACCCAAGGACAGAGGCTGGTCCGCAACAGTCTCCGGGAGGCAGGGGGTGGGGATCACTAGCAGGGACCCGGGTTCCAGAACCGCGGAGGGGAACCAGAGGCATGTTCGGAGTGACGTTGGGGTCCCGGAGCAGGGGAGAGGATGTGGGGGGTAGTGGGGTGACAAGGAGTCTGGGGAAAGGGGGCTTCCCTAGGGGAAGGAGCTGGAGAGAGGAGACGGAGGGAGGGAGGGTAGGGACCGGGAAAAGAAGAAGGGATGGGAGAGAATCGGGTCTGGGAGGAGGAGTCCAGCGGAGGAGAGGGGCGTCGGCAGCCCTAATCTTGGGGGACCAGGGGTTATGCCGTGAGCGACTCACCAGACTGAAATCATTCTCCGCTGTGGCCCCGAATCCCGCCAGAGACAACAACAGAAGGATGGTCGTGGCAAATACCTGAACCCTACAGGACCCCCAGAACCCAAAAAGATGCGGTGCCCCGGGTCTGCTCGGGGGTCCTGTGGCGGTTCGGCCCGCTGTCATTGCTCCCTTGCGGTGGCCGCCACCACGACCCCCGGGCTTGGACCAGGTTCGGAGTCGGTCAGCTGACCCTGGCCCTTTAAGCGATCTGGTGTCACGTTCCAGGCCCGCCCCACGCCGCGTAGCACGGCCGCGTTTCCACGACTCTAATTGGCTCTCAGGCGCAAGGCTTTTACTCAATCCCGACACGTCCTTCCTATTGGTTCTCGTGGAACCTGGGAGCGCGTGACCTCCGGCGGGAAAGCCTATTGGCTGAGGGAAAGACCGACGATTACGCCCAGGAGCTTCGTGGTTGGGCTCACGTGGGGGCGGGGCTTATTTTAAAGACTCAGGCGGCGGGGAAGAGGTGAACTTGCCGAGGGCGGGAGTAAGTGGACCCAGGCTTTTTGAGAAAACAAAGTATTCTTTAATAAAATCATTTTACTACAAAATCGAGATCTGGAAGACGGAATGAAGCTGGGAAGCTGTTCAGGGCCGGGCGTCAGGTCTGAGTTTTTTATTTCTTTCTCTTCTTGTTCCCCGAGGGCACCTGGTTCTTTTTGCCCAGAATCTGCAGGAGGTTCTTGGACATGTAGTATGGTCGGGCTGGGGATCCGTCGTTCCGCTCCAGGTCTTCCACTGAGCCACAAGATAGAGAAGTTAGAGGGGAAACCCTCACTCCCACCCCCAACTCCCTGGTGAATCCTCCACTTGGAGCCAAAGATGCCTGTTTCAGTTTCAAGCCAGTTTGCGCCACCAACTACTGGACATGAGAGTCAGTTTTGTAACCTATTGAGCGAGTTATGTCATCTCAGATTCCTCATCTGTGAAATGCTGTCAATACTATATTTCCTATTGTGATCAGAATGGATGGGGGGAATGGATGTCAGTAACAGTGTCTAGTACAAACCAGATGTATGCAAGCAGCGACATTACTATGGCTACCTGTCAGGAACTTTTGTTTCTAACTTCTAACCTTAGATTTTCTGACAGCAGAAACCTTTCCCCTTGAAGACTTGGGAGAGCTTGCTAGCCTGGGAGCTCACTTCTTTCTTTCTTCCCCGAACTTGCCTGGAGTTCTCAGAAGACAACTTCGTTATTTCTAGATGTGCTAAGTCTTACTTATAAAGGCCAGCCAGAAAGATAGTGTAGTGGGTAAGGCCTTACATGTGGTGACCCTGGTTCTGTCCCCAGCACTGCCAGGAGTGATCCTTGACTATAGCAGGGTTAGCAAGCCCTGACCTCAAAACCAAAAACAATATTCAAGTCCTGATGAGTCTGGAAACTTGCAGTTAGGGAGAAGTAGTGGAGGGTGTCACTCACAGAAACAAAGGAAAAGCGTGTCCACACACATGCCAAAAACACTGAAGAAGCCGCTGGCGATAACATAGGCCCCCACGATGCAGGTCTGGAATGCACAAGGCTGGTTAGTACCCTTTGGCGGAAGTTGGAGGGGAGGAGGTCGAGATGGGGAGAAACTCACCATAATGGGCAGCCAGTAATAATTGAGTGAAGGGTTCTCAAAGTTTTTACCCAGACCCCGAATGCGACCGGAGAAAAAAAAGAAGGACAGGACCCCTGTGGGAAAGGTAAGTGTCACTCCTTGGCAATCTGCGGCTGGTTACCCTGCCGTCTGTGCCACAACTCTGGGTCCTGGTCCTTACCGACACCTCCAACCACCAGCAGCTTCCCGAAGAACAGCAGCAGGTCTGTGACTTTGTCTAGGACCACCACCCTGTAGGAGGAATTGGGCTACGTTGGGGCTGATTGGCTGGCTTGGCTGGGAACTGCTGCATTGTGCACTGGGCCAGATGCAGAGGAGAGTTGTGCTAACCAGGCAACAAAGCCCTTCTGAGCCCAGAACACCCTTGAAGCTGCTCTTTCACTGGGAACCTGAGCAGGGCGGCCCACGCAGGGGCGGATGAGGGGGGGGGGAGGGAGGAGGGGAAAGGGAGTTATCTGACCTGAGAACATTCCGCATGAGCAGCATGAAGGCGTTTTTGGCTGAGATGCAGAAGTTTTTCCCATAGATGGCGATCTGGGTAGGTGGAAAGGACAGTTACCTGGGCTGGAGCGATAGCACAGTGGGTAACGCATTTGCCTTGCACACGGCCAACCCGGGTTCGATTCCCAGCATCCCATATGATCCCCCAGCACTGCCAGGAGTAATTCCTGAGTGCATCAGCCAGGAGTAACCACTGTGCATCACCAGGTGTGACCCCAAAAAAGCAAAAAAAAAAAAAAGGACAGTGGACAGTTACCTGACTGAGAATACTGGCAGTTGCGTATGGACCCTGGATCCAGGAGCCCAGGCCGCAGCAAACTCACCATAATATATGCGTTCTTGTTCAGGAACTTGATAAACTTCTCCAGACACCAGAGGCAGCACTTGAAGCAGCACATGATGCAACGGGCCAGGGCGTTCTGGGCTCCTGGGACAAGAGGTGCACATTTAATCACTGGCCCTGGTGGCCCCTCCACAAGGACCCTGCGGTTCAGCCAGCTCACAAACCCCTTCCTCATCCCCCAGCCTAGGGCCCACCTCTCAGTTTGTGGTCAATGTACTCCAAGACAATCCGGGCGATCTGCACCAGGGACAAGATGAGGGCTCCAAAGGCGAGGGACCCAGTGTGGTAACTAGGGAGGGCTTCGTTATTCAGAGGCAGTGCTGGCACCCCCAGGATGCCCAGGGTCATGATTCCCAGCCTGCCTGGGCTTACCGGAGTGTTCGGATGAAAGCAGAGCCCAGGGGGAAGGTAGGGATGTCCTGGGGCTTCCGGAAGGCCCAGTAGAAGGAGGCAAAGGCCCCAGCCATGACACACTGGCCCAGGGCCAGGACCCAGTTGAGGGTCCAGAATAGCCCCAGTACTCCGTAGATTTGCAGGTTGAAGATAGAACGTTGTATCAGGCCTGTGGACGTGTAGCCCTGGAAGACGCACATCTCCCCTGGGCAGCTGCTAGACTGGTTCTGGAAGGGAAAGAGAGGCTCAGTTGTAGTCGGCTCACAAACCCAGGGAAGGGAGCAAAATGGGATCTTCCTTCCAGAATTTCATCAAACCACCTCCTACGTGAGCCTCGCTGGTGGCCTTCAGCCTCCCCATGGACAGAAAAGTCCTAGAGTTGCTGGGCCAAGCCCCGGTGGCCCCACCTCGGGAGCTCTAGCCATTTGGCCTTGTCTCCCTGGCCCAAGTGGCCATACATTTAAAAAAAAATTTGTTTTTTTTTTGGTAATTTGTGGGCCATATCCAGTGGTACTCAAGGCTTACTCCCGACTCTGCTGTCAGGAATCATTCCCAGTTAGGCTCAGGGGGCTTTGGGGGGTGCTGGGGATTGAACTCAGATCAGATGTGTATAGAACAAGGGCTTTAACAGTTGTACTATTTCTTCATCCCTGAGTGGTTATAGATTTAAAAAGTTCTGAGTTGGGGGATGTCGGAGAGATAACATAATGGATAAGGCCCTTGCCTTGCACATAGCTGACCTGGGTTCAATCCCTGGCATAACACATGGCTCCCTGAGCATCACCAGCAGTGATCCCTGAGCATGGAGTCAGGAATAGGTAAACCCTGAGCACAGCTGGGTATGGTCCCAAAAGAAAAAAAAAAAGGTCCTTGAGTGAGTGGGCCACTGAGATAGCTCAAAGCCCTGAGCATGCGCTTTGCATGCCGGGAACTCAGTTCCATAGGGCTCTGCCTAGTCTCCAACACTGCTGGGTGTGATCCCGAGTACAGAACTGGGAACAAACTCCTGCAGGTACAGTGCAAAAAACAAATGGAACAAAAGAAACCTCCTTCCCTCTCAACAAAACTCCAGGAAGACCCAGTAGGAGCTCACAAGGATCGATGGAATGTAACAGAAGCCAACTAAACTTCATCAACAAAAACGTTAACACAGAAGGTTCAATTCGCAACAACAGCTTAGCAAACCTTCAGAGGAGGGCTTAATGTCCCCATGTTGACATATTGTTGACATATAACAATTTTCACAAATTTTCCTTTACCAAGGTGTTTTTTTTTTTTTTTGAAAATTCCTTTAGCCGGGGCTGGAGCGATAGCACAGTGGGTAGGGCATTTGCCTTGCACGCAGCAGACCCAGGTTCGATTCCCAGCATCCCATATGGTCCCCTGAGCACTGCTAGGAGTAATTCCTGAGTGCAGAGCCAGGAGTAACCCGAAAATTGCCGGGTGTAACCCAAAAAAGCAAAAATAAAAATAGATAATTCCATTAGCCATTTAGAGCTAATAAGCAATATATAATAAATTATTTTGGGCCTGCTACGGGAGCAGACTTGAAGGGTGGTTGGGAAAATGGGGACAATGGTGAAGGAAGATGACAGTGGTGGAGGGATTGGGGTTGGAGTAATGAATGCCTGTAACAAATGCATCATGAACAACTTTGTAAGCCACGATGTTTAAAGTGGGAAAAAACAAATAAACAAACACCCTAGAAAGGACTGGGGAGTTAGCTCAGTTAGCCAGAGAAAACTCTTTGCATCCCCGAGTTCTGGGTTTCATCCCTTCATGTTATTGTCCCCAGAGCACTGCCAGGAGCAACCCCTGATCACTGAGCTCAAAGTAGCCCCGGTGGCCTCAAGTGAAAAACAAAAATACTTTCAGGAAATAAAAGCACAGGGGAACTGCAATTCAGTCCAGTGATGGAGGCAAGCTTCTGTGTATAAGGCCCTGGGTTCAGTTCCAGCATCCTCGAACGCTTAGCAATGCGAGTGTGGGAGAGGACTGGAGGGCTGAGTTGGGCACAGCAAATTTGAAGGCTGTAGAATCAGAGCCAGAAATTCTCTACTGCTGTGGGAGACTGAAGATTTTGATAATAAAAAGTTTCCTGCGGACAGAGAGATTGTATAGCAGGAAAGGCACTTGCCTTTTATGCACTGACCTGGTAATACATCTGGTTCCCTGAGCCCTGCCAGGAGTGATCCCTGAGCACAGAGTCAGGAGTAAGCCCAGAGCACCACCAGGTGTGGCCCCAAACCAAAAAAATAAAATGAAATAAGGGGTAACCTGTTTCAGAAAATGAGATAGAAGGTTATTTTTTTTTTTAATTTCCCACACCCACCTGGGCTCAGGTCTTACTCCTGGCTCTGCACACAGAATTAGGGTATCATGTGTGATGCTGGGAATCAAACTTAAGTC